ATGAAAGTAATTTGGTTTCAGCTTAATGAAGAGATGTGTTCTTTTTTCTTTTGCCTTTAAAAAAATCTTTCACTGAACAACAAAATATTGAAATACAATACTTTTAAAAATAGGGACAGCTGGGACTACCTTTTAAAGAGGCTAATCTGCACACCTTTGAGGCATAGCAAAAGATCCTGACTGCTACAAGTTCCAGATGAAGGATAAGATCTCCAAACTTTAGCCTCACAGGCAGGCGTCCGACAAGCAATTTGTTTTTGCTTCTTGTTAGGTCAGTTAATAAAGCAAGGGTTAAAGATCCAATGTATCTCATGTGACAAAGACACCAGTCCAACTGGTACAAAACCCTTATAAACTGCATTTTACAAAAATTGTTGTGTCATTAGCAACAACAAAAAATATTTTCCTTCCTGGGGATTTCTCAGTTGCTCTGATACAGCAGTCTTTCATCAGCTTTAGAAGGAGTTAAAAGGAATGACTTTTTTACGGCTAGCATGAGGCACCTGTTGGGGGATGGGATGAAGCTGAAACTCTGAAACCAGTCAGGCGAGGAAGCAAGAGGTGTAGTTTGTGCAAGAGAGTCAGGAAGGCTGGTCTTCGATTTTAAAGACTCAAGTATTTATGTGTTTAAAGGTGACTATTTCAAAACAAAATAAAGTTTTAAGAGGCTATTAAGGGGGCACACTTTCATTACTTCAATCAGTCTAATTTATTTCCAGCAATTTCAATCAAAATCCAGAATTACAAGTTTCTTTATTTTGCACTGCCCACATCACACATCAAAGTTCTGCCTCCCTAAATCAGGAGGTGGCAACTGCGTCACACAACAGTTAGATCATGGGAACAGCCCGAAACAAGATTTCACACCTGAAGGGAAAAAGATATTGGTGCAATCTTTTGAAATACTGTAATATTTTGTATGTTTTCAACTTGGGTTCTGTTCATTTTGTGTCTCCAGTTCCATTTTAAGGACATTAGGCTGATTAATGCTTTAAAAGTGTAATCAGAATACTACCCAGAGCTAATTGCCAGTGTCTAATCTTCATTGGTCTGTACACTGATTTTTAACATTTTCAGTTCCATTCATCAAATACTTAAATAATGGGGTACAGTTTAGGAATTGTCTAGTTGTAGTCCTAGAGGACCAAGGTTTCTGCAGTTTACCTAAGTCTTTTTAAATTCAGCTGCACCTGAAGAGCTGGGAGACATTATTAAATTGCGGTTAAACCATTAGCCAGCTAGTTTCATTCATTAAGTGCTGAACTGTATACACACACACTTTCCGTTCATGACTGGACACCTATGGAATATACCATTCTCTTAGCTTGTGATTACACTGTAATTGATGAAAGCAGATATTCTGAAATGAAATTAACAAATAACACAGTAAAAGGTAATGCCAAGTAATTGCTTGTGGATCTAAAAAATAACTGACAGCTTCTTTTTTATACATTCATATATTATGGAAGATCTGAATCTTCAGTAAATGAATACAAAGTAAGATATAATAACCAGTCAATCTGTGCATGCTTAGATCAATGCATTCAGAAAGGAGCAGCAGCTGATCACAAAAAATGACAGAGGAGTTGCAGGTTTTGTGCAAAACAACTATGTTACCCTGTAATGAGGCACAGGAGGAGAAGACTGATGTGTAAAAAAATGCTGTTACATTCTGAACTTTAATAGTTTGGAATGAATAGTTGAATAGTTCAGTTGCTCTAATCTGTTTTATACCAATTTCACTTGAGAGGAATTCACTTGATGAAAAGTTTGCATGACTTCAGTTTCTTTTTTTGCAATGATTGATTACTGCAAAACATTTTGCCCATTTTCACCCTTTGGTACAATGAAAAAGTAGTTTTACTGACAGAATTATCTTTGGTGTATTTCATAAACTCAGTAGGCTTTAATAAGAAGCTCAAGAGGGGATAACCAACCAGTGCAGCACTAAGGACTGTTTCACTGCATTTGAATGTGATCTTACATACCTAGTATAACAAATTTATTAAGGCTACATAATCACACTTTAACATTGTATGCTATAGTATTCACAATCCATTACAACCTTTATAGTTTATAACATAGTCACACTTTATTCTTCATACATTAGAATTAGTAGTTTTCAACTATAATTAAAAATTTTGCTTACAGCCATTGACTTTAAAACAGCCTCTCCAGTCTCTTTATTGCACAGTGTAATTCTCTGCCCATATTCTGAAAGAGAACTGACCATTCCAATTCTGACATTTGCTCAGTAATAATAACCGGAGTCTTGTTTTGAGACCAATCTCACTATTCCAAACCAAAACTCTTGCTGCATTCAGCCGCAAGGCCCACAATGTCTTTATTGTTCTTTGTGTTTCTGAGGAAGAAAGAAATTCTTTGCCCAACTAGGATTCAAAGAGGTGAGAAGGAATTCAGGTTACATTAGCCAAGCAAGACTGTGAAATTGAAATTGACTAGAGATGCATTTGTCATTTCCAGTTATTTAGTCTTTGCAGAGGAATGAGCAGTAATGCAAACTGTCACCACTATTATTCTTGTAGGCGTCTTTCTGTTATATGCCTGAATATGAGGATGAAGAAACGTAAATCATGTACAAGCTTTTCAACTGCAAGACAAGCAATATTTCAGAATCACTGTATCCCAGCATCACACACACTGTAAGCTGCCCACTATGTAAATCGGGATTTCATTGATCTTGGATGCACTGAAACTACATGCGACAAGTGACGTCTAGGTATCGTAAAAAGAACATTTGAAAAACTCATAGTACCAAAGCAATATCCTTATTTAATACTCATCACTCTTTGTCTTAGGTGCATTGAATGGTGACCTCACAATCTTTTAAAAAAATCTATACATGAAAGCTTTGAGACAGAAAGAAAAGAAAATTCAGAATTCTGACCTGGCACCAGATGTCGGCAAGTCCACCGGGATTTTACAAAGGCTCAGCTTTTCCAGGAAGCAAAGGGAACTTTTAATTCTGACTTCTCCAGGTATAAAAACAAGTAGAAGTCTACAGAAGAAGGTTATAAGAAAAATGATAGAAGGATTGTAAATAAACCAAGAAAACGGGGTTGTTGTATTCTTTAAAAAGAGAGAGAGAGAGAGAGTGTCTAAAATAGCTGATTGTTTCCCAAATGAATGAAGGTATTGTGTTTGAAAGCCAAACCTGCAATTAAGGGTCTCTTTTTCCAGGGCGTCTCTTGATAAGATCGTATCCTCAGATTGAGTTTCATACGCAGGTATGCACGAAAGTTCTACAATTAAGCTTTCGAAGAAAGATATTTTGAAGAAAATGCCTTTCAATCTAATCCCAACACCCCAGAACAAAAAGGTCATCCAAATACTGGGCCTCCCCTTTAGCTCAGAAAAAAACTTTGTTTGCTCATGTTCTTTACAGCATCTTTACAGAATATTGCTTTACAGTGATTCATAATCAAGCTGCTAGCCATTCATTATGAGATGTTTTTATACAAATGCTAGAGGAGCAGAATCCTCAAAGATACTTCAAATTCTACATCTGCACAAGTAAAATCAAGGTTTAAAACCATAAACCATAAACAGGTACTGTGCTTCACCCTTATTAGGGACAATCTTCCTGATATAGTGAACTATGAACAGTGAACTGGAAGTATTCATGCATCTAACGAGATACACTATTCATTGTGACTATTCCTGTGTGTTAAGAACTTGTGGTCATGACAGTTCCTCTTCCCTCAGCATTGTGAAATGGCACAAGTTTAATAATATAAGTTCCTATAATTAATACCTACAGTGTCTATTAAAAGAAGTAGCCTTTCAATATAGGGTGCATGTTAAAAGCCTACATCTGCATGGAGTTATGAGTATGGAAATCAATTAGGAATATTAGTGATAATATTAAATAATTCTTAAACAGTTATTTAAATTCATTGTGACTGCTCTTAACACACATTGTAACACAGAAGGGTATTCCTTATAATACAGATGAATATGTGTATTATATGGTCAGAGTTGGCTGAGAAACAGCTGTCTAATTTTGAGGTTAGGTAGTTAAATTTGACACACTTGAACAAGGCCAAGGCCGAAACGTTGTTTTTCTTTTCTTCTCCTTTCAGCACAGAAAAAATCTTTACCCATTCCTGTGTGATTTGGAGTTTATATGAGCTTAAAAATGGACCGAGAAGCCAAAAGATCATTTGGTCTCCCATAGCACTGTGCTAAATAATATCTTTCAGTGAGTACATGCGGAACACAGATTCTTTTTTATTTTCTGAACATTTATATTCCACCATGAATTTCATTAAAGCGTGTTCTGGGTTTAACCTTAAGTGTCTGGTGCCAAGGCATCACAATATTCCTGAAAAAAGCATCTCAGTGAATTTGCATCTCAGTGCGGGTTACCGGTTAATACAGAAATATAAAATTAATTTACTACATAAAAATAAGTCCGCTGGCATTGCTTGTGTCTCCGTGAGTGTACCTCATTTAGTTCACGCAATAAACAACTGCTTTTCACTGAACACATTCCTGTTCCTGTTATTTAATGCTTGGTGGTCATAGCCACACAAAAGATATAGAATACAGCAGTGTTCAGTGACAAGAGGTTCATGTGTCTGAAACCCAGTCACTATTGTATACCTTTTCATACATTCTATGCAGATAAGACTGTATTTATCTTAGTGTTTCATAGCTTTCATTGAATATCAAAAACCATTAAGCAGGCTGAATTAAAGACATATGATCTGGGTCAAATTTATATCATTCCACAAGAACAGACATTTCTATGTCATAAGGGGTCTTCAGGAGAGGACAATGGGAAATTCCCACAGAGCGATGTTTGTGGTTGTATGTGGAGGGAGGAATGGGGGGAGAGGGGATATTAGTAAAGTAAAAAAAGTCCATAAAGTATGACAGTAAATTCCTGCTTCGTCACCTCACACTCATACAGCGGGGTTGCGTGAGACCCGAGTGAATTTATAGTTCTCTCAATCAGAATGTAGGGCACCGCACACAAGGCTGAGAATAAAAGGTAAGAGTGGAGCTGATGGTTATGCTACAGTGCCTGTAACAACATGTTGTGAGCAGGCGAGCACACCTTGTTTCCAAAGCTTATTGCAAGTGCAACACAAGACCCACCCATGCACCTGCCCCACCTGCTTGGGTTCCTCTTTTCCAGCGTTTTGCGTGCAGAAACTGCGGCGGTATCCGCGCATGTGACACGTCTTCAGCACGTCAGGGACGGCTCATTGTTGAATGTTATGCTGCAGTTACTTCTGTCGGATAGGTAGCCAGGATACATTTCAAAATCTTTCATGATTTACAAAGAAGCCAAATGCAATCCATTTCAATTCCAAAGCACAAGTACACTGATACTGTTATGTTATAAAAGTCTCTAACACAGGATCAGACAATGTTTTAAATTTCTCTGCCTAAACGATCTGAATCTATGATCTCAAATGTTATCATGTGATTTTGTCAGATGTTCCATTTGTGGTGTTTTTATGAAACTCTAGCGTTTTTTAAGACCCATCTGAGCTGGTATCTCGTTTCATTTATTTTGGGCTTCTACCCTCTACATTAGAGACTGGAGAGCTGTCACCTTTCAGTAGAACTTTTATGAGACAAGAATAGGAGGAAAACTGCTACCTTTTTTAAATTTATCTAGTATTTTCTTCAGTAAGGAGAAGCTTTATCTTTATAGCTTTATGTTTCAACCCAAAGAAGGGGTATGTATACAATGCTCCTAGACTTTTTTTCAAAATATGTATAAACAAGCTGGTGACCTGTCACGACAGGTAATGAATGCGACTCCCAGCTTTTGTTTTGAACGAGCTGGCTGGAGCCAGTCTGTTCAGCAACTTTCCAGTGTTCTCAGAGCTTCAGCCACACCTTTCTGCATCTCTACTGTTCGTGTGAGATACACTGTGAGGTGGCTGGTGTACTGATACATTTTTACAGGGCTGACTCACAGAAAATGGTTTCAGTTAGCGGTTTTTGCATGAGACAAACAAATATATATTCCTCTTACCTTTAATTACTTCAGACTTTGCAATTCTGCGGTATTTACTTCGATTCTCCATGACCTCCTTAGTTTTTAAAAACATGTGTGCAAATACATATTGAGGCCACTGAATGGTGCAATTTAAGATATCAAGTATGAATGTATGAAGTTGTTTAACATTACACTGATAGTTGGGTACAAAAGTTAATTTGTTTTTGGAAAGTGCATTTTAGGAGGTTTTAGCCAAGTGCCAAACAAACACAGTGGTAAAAAATGGACAATATTAACATATTTATTAATGACAAATATATGACCTCAGTTAATGACCAGGCAGCTAATAACACAAATGATACTATAATACAAAATGATATATTTGTTTTATACATGATTTTGAAACCCCTATACTATAGAACAATCCATATTCATGTCATTATTTAATATCATATCATTTATTATTGTGATTGCTAGTTTTATTAAAAGAATTTGAGAAACAGTAAATTAATCTGGTAGGAACTGGCATCCCATCCAGGGTGTATTCTGCCCTGTGCCTGTTACTTGCTGGGACAGGCTCCAGCTCCCCCACAGCCTTGGACTGGATCAAGCAGTTGAGAAAATGGGTGGAAGTAAGTTAGCACAGGCTTTCTATTTTTAAACCACCATCAGCATAATGTAAATTAACCTTAGGGGATTTAACTTTACTGAAGTTCTCAGAAGAAACACAGTGTAAAAATTTCCACCCTTTTGTTATGGAGGATGCATTGTTGATTCGATCGTTTGAACTTCCAAATAATTAGCACACAATGAAGGCTCAGTCTCTGAGTGTGAATGACTTCATTCTGTGGAGCTCAGGGCACTGGAACAATCCCGGAGCAGAAACCGTCTCTCCCTGCAGTTTCAGTGGCTAAGAGGACCATGTGACACTGCAGTCACACCCAGAGAATTAGCAGGTATTGTCATCGGTTATTTAATAATGCACGGCTTCCTGTCTGCGTTACCCAGCATTACACAGTAATCTAGTCTCAGATCACTGACCAATCTGTACGCTAGATGAGCACTCTGACATTAAAATTAGCATCGGAAAGGTGCATTAGCGATATCAAAGATGACATAGATCTGAGAGCTCCTGGTTTTGCAGGAGAAATGTCACAATTGGCATGAACCATGTGCCAGTACATTTTGTAGGTCTCCTTAAAATTCTGCACCACAGGAAAAGACTACATTTGCTCAATAAATGACACCTGAAGAAGGCTACATTCTTTTATTTTCAGCATGGAATAAACCTAAGTTTAGCTGTTCCTTTGTTCAACAAAGTCTTATATGAGACCATTTAATATCATTCACTGGTCTGAAGCTGATGACAATGTAAGGATTCTGACAAAACCTCCTGCTCTGTTTGTCTTGAGATAAGACTTGAGGACTTCAATCCCTAGTATCTCCTTTGGCTATGAGTAAGGGGTTCCAGTTTTCTGATTAATAGGTACAAATTGAAATGTTTTTGGAATGACACATAAAAAAAGTGCCAGGTATTTTCACAGCACTTTTCTTTTATGGACATCTGGATAGTATGTTGGCTTCTCTCGCTTCTTAGGTAAACACCAAACACCCAAAGCACATCCACATTTTCTGACATTTTATAAATGCTGAAATTACCTGCATAGCCAAATTATTGGTTAGATTTTAATACATTCTGGTTTCTACTCAAGATGGTCTTCACCAAAGCATCCAGAGAAATAAATTGGCAAATGAAGCAATTAAAATCTCTGGCAATGTTCAAGTATGCGTGTTTCTCTTAAAGACCTTGAAGTGTATTAGTAATTTCAGATGCTAAAGACCCGATTGAGTAAGGAGGGGTGGGAATGGAGGCTTAGATTATGTAGGATTGGTTCTGCTAATTCTAAATGCTGGATACATACAAATGCATGATATATACAGTATATACATGCTATATATATCTTATCCTCAAAAAATAAAAAGGTTTATCTCTTTCACATAAGATTATTGGTTGTAAAAGCTGGCAGACGGCAGACACTGTAGAGCAAGAAAGACAATTTTGTTTATTCATTAAG